GTTTTTCTGTATTGTGATCTCTAACTTTGAGGGAAGAAGTCAAATTGTAAATGTTGAAAACAATGATCAAGAAAATATTTGGATCTAAGAGAAAGTAAGGTATGCTACATAAAAGGGCCTTCACAATTTACACATATTACCTACTATTAAGGTAATAGAATCAATTAGGTTAAAATGTAATGGACACATAGTTTGGATGTGGGAAATGAGAAATATGTACAGAATATTGTTGGAGAATCTCTAAGTATTATAATAGATCTTGAAATAAGTTCAGAGAATGAATGGGAAGTTAAAACTGGCTCAGGATTATGTCTAATGTCAGGCTTTGTAGTATTATCAGTGCTAAACCCTCATGTTTTACTACCAGAGAGTAAGTTTTAATTTGTTATAATGACTGATTAAAACTGTGTTAGCACTTTGCTAATATCAAAGTCTGCCACTATTTAATATTTATGCTTTTATATTTGTATCACATTCTTATACAGAATGTCTAGAAAGTAATTTATATGGTTATGTGCCTGAAGATACAGCTGGCCTCACTTTGACAAAAATTTGAGTACTCATCAACAAACCATGGTCTATTGTGAAATTCTGTGGTATTCTAAACTAAACTAAATAGCACTTTCCAGAAGCCATGTTTTTTGGTTAATTATTTCAAACCAGTTGGTAGTATTGCTAAAAACAGCAATAACAAAGCTATATAATAAACAGTACCACACATTCTCAGCAATTCTATTTACTTCTTTGTTGCAGGTGAGATTCTTATGTTTGACAATGTACGACTTTTACATGGACGTAAGGGCTATGATGACAAGCCAAACAACACAAGGCATCTAGTGGGGAGTTACCTGGACTGGGATCTGGCTTATTCACGCATAAGAGTCCTTCGCAAGAAGTTGAGAGGGCACACACTTTCAAATCAACCCTGAACATCTGTACAGAAATTATTGTAAAATATATGGATTATAGAAGGAAACAAAAGTTTAGCATTCATTGTGTGACTGACTGTCATATATTATGGTGTTTTACTGTGTAGACATTTTATAAAATATAATTAGATTTGTGAAGTTTCTGTGTTATATATTACTATAAGCTGATAAAATACTATTAAGTATGTGGCACCATGTCTTCTTTGAAATAAATTCCCTGCCAATTTTGTAATGTTTCTTGCAAGGTATATGCATTAGGTTGTATAGAATGTTTTCTAGAGAACTGTGTCTTAAAATAACATTTAAAAAACGTTACTATCGCATAAAAATATGTAACTAATGATACTATCTCATAAAAGGTCATATAAATATGTTACCTGTTCATACACTTAAACATATTATTTACTTTATACTACATATTCAAGTGTTTCTGATGTTTTTGAAAACTTTTAAAACAGCTTCAACAAACATTTGAAACTTCTTCAAAAATAAGATTATTTCTTGTAATGTTTGTAAATGTTAGAATATTCCATAAGTTTCATACTAGGATTACACAGATTACAATTTATTACCATTTTATTAGTTAACTACAGTCTTAAAACCTGTGCCATCATCAGTTTGGACATTGGTAATGACTTATACAGCCAACAGTTCTGATTCTTTCTGACTGTAAACACATGAAAGTTTAATAAAGATATATGAACTTCTATACTTTTTCTTCATACTGATGCCTTGTGTTCTGATGAAATATTAAAAACAGTTATGAATTTATGACTATATTGCTACTTTTTTTTTTTGTAAGTCCTGTTTGCTGTAAATAAATTATTACAAAACAATTTCCATATCAGTTACATGTCTGTAACAACTATTTGACATTATTGCTTGCACAAGAGAATACTTCCCTGATGTATAACACAAAAACTGAGCAGTTACTACACTCAATCACTATGGCTGCATATACTCTGGTTTTAGCCACAGTGCTGTCAACATTACCTAGCAGTCCAAACACCTGAAATGACCATGACAGTGCTGCTCTGAAGGAATGCACTGGGCTAATTTACTGCTCGCAATGATATAATGCCAACTCCACAGAAACATACAGGAAATTGGATTTTTTAAATATAACCAGTACTATGATTAGAGGCAAACGGACAATGTGGCAAATGTGGTAGCTAAGCCCCTCTGGTTTTCTAAACAGCAAAGTTCCCCTATTGGACTACAGACTTTTCTACAAACATTATAACTGTACCTTTTAGTAACACTGGCAGTTAATTTAGGATTTTAGGTTCTCATGGCAGTGAGTATAAAGATCGCTGTCTTCTGGGTTGTAGTGCCGTGTACGACCTCTGAAATGGTAAACCTCTACCAGACTATGTGGCACTACAAACCAAAAAACAAACAACTAATTTGATTAGTACATAATAAATCCACACCTATATTAAATAATTATTTCATTAATATTCTTCTAGTTCTCTGTGATAAGCATGCTTCCATAATCACTAATAGCTTCTTTCACCCACCCTCCTATCTACCAGCCCAACTTCCTCTCTAGGATGATGATAATGAATTACAAGGAATTGGAAAAGGCCAACCTAGCATAATTCAAGGTATCATCATGACATCTACTACAATAGAGTGAGGAGCACACAGAAGTGGACAAAACAGATATTCCTCATAGCAAATCAAAACAGAAACCATGTTAAGAAACAAATTTAACATCTTTATCTATCTGAAAACATTTAGGTGCATTACACATCAAACATCTATTCTATTCCATTCTATACAACTCAATCAGTACCCAAAAGAAATGGCTAAAAAATGTACTGTTCATTTATAGTATCACTAACAATACCAGATTTCTAGATATTTATATGAGAAGAAGTTACAATAGAAAACATATGAGCCAGTCAATAAAAAAGTTGAAGTTACAACTCTTGGACAAACAAACATGTATACGTCTAGACCTGGAGTTCAATTTCTTAAAAGTTGTCACTGATGCTGCTAAAACTCCCTTATTAAAGAGGCAATCCTTGTTACAGTAAAATGTGTTGATAAATTTGTTAAGGAGGATAAAAAATCATTCCCATAACTCTGATAAACTGAATGTGAGAGACAGCCACTCCAAAGTACGAGGCGCGTCCACAAAGTAAGTTTCCCACTCGTCCCACAGCTAGCAAACCTTATAATGCGCGAAGCGACTGTGCGTACGTGATAGAGCAATGACGTAGCATGGCGCATGCACTAACGGCAC